CCAGAATAAGGATCTGTCATGTGTGCTTGACAACAGCACATTCTCTGTAGAGTGAGAGCTGGACAAGGTACAATGCTAAACTTTGTTCACAGCTCTCAACTTACAACCATTTTAATGTGAATGCTTCAATTTCATCCTGGCGTCTTTCATGCATCTCAAGTTGCAAGTAATTGCAGCTATACAGGTACATGCACACACGTTAACTGCAACTATTAACTCATTCCCCAGTTTAATTAACTTTACAATATTTTCTTATGTTTTCTGTTTTAAAATCAACCGCACACATTTTTCAGTGTCACAGGACTTGTATTTAAGTATGAATTGGTATGAGGAAGATTCTGAATTATTTAATTATAGAGTGAAGGTTTAGTTGATCTTTCCTCAGAAAGATGCAGTATCCCTCATGATGTGAAGACTAAACCTCAGACACCCACACAGCTGTCAGCTTGCACATTCCTGTGGTACACACATATATATGGAGTTTTTAATGTGTTGTGCATGTATTACAAAGCTCAGTGAATGTTTCATTAATCTTGAGGGTGGTTTTCTTACACCTTTATTCTTACACAAATTCTTTCAAAACATCTGATACCCTTTATTTACTGCCCTCAGAACTCTGACATAGAATAATCAAATCAATTTTGTAAAAAATTGATTACAGTTTAGAGGGACAGTTCAAGAACAAAAATATAAAAAGTACCACAAACAGCCATGCATTTAAAATGTGAGACGCAGGACAGTGAAATAAAAAAGAAAAATAAATAATTAAAAATAAAATAAAGGGCTAGAGGTGCATTTAAAAAAAAAACTATAGACAGATCCTTTCATTCACAAAATTAGATGCCCCTTAAAACAGATATAAAATCAGAATTCAGAGAAAAAAGTACAAACTGCAAAATGTAAACTCAATTTTGAGAAAAAAGGTCAGAATTGTGAGATATAAACTTGAAATTGTGAGAAATAGTCAGGATTGTTATAAACTTGTGATTCTGAGAAAGAAAGTCCAAATTGCAAGGTATAAACTCAGAACTTAAAATTGCAAGACGTTAACTACAACTTTTAAGATAAAATCAAAATTGCAAGAAATAATACATTCTATGGTCGTAATGCAATGAAGTTCAAGAAGCCTATACCCAAAGTACATCTCTATAACTTTTGATAGGTCTTAAGATTGATCATACATCTCAAAATATATAAAAAGTTTAGGGAACCCTGTTCTAGCTAATAGATATTTTGTTCTCGAAACTTGTAGCAAGACATTTAGAGGCTTTTCTGAACTCCACTATGAACATGAATTGATTACTCTCAAGGTAACAGAGACTAGAGAAGAGATAAAAGATGTGAAAAGAACCATTTAACACATTTAAGCATTAAGCAAATGTGCATGCTATGAGAAAGCCACATCTCAGAACTCACAACGGTATATATTGAGGTGCAGTGAAGTGAGGAGAGACCCTTTCAATGTGCTGTCAGTAGGGTGCCATGGGGCTTTGAGCTCCTAACAAGTGTTTAAAAAGTGGTCAAACAAACTGCAGGACAAATAACACATCTGTCCCTCAAAACCCATCAAGGATTAGACAATCCTCACAGAGAGTGAAAACAGGACCAAATAAAGTGGAAAAAGAGTGGCATCAATTTGTGTTACCAGGTCTTTCTCCTTCAAAGAAAGAGTGTCCTGTATAGAATAAACCTTTGAATTTGGAAGGTGAAAAGAAAGTCCCTCTGTATTCAGGAGCAGTGATGAGATGGCATTTTCATATGCAAATGCAGGAACTTAGTCCTGTATGTTCACTGGCCAAATCCCTGACCGTCTGAACTGACAAGTGTCTGGCTAATGGATTCTGAGGGGAATCAATCTTGCCAACTAAAACACATTTAAATTTCAATGATACCTTGAATGCAACATTTTTTTACACAGAAGTTAGAGGTTACAGAAGCAACAGGTAATCATGCTGAATATGTTCAGAACTTCATACATTTACAAAATGTTAGCCAGAAGCATCGGAACCCCATTATCACAAATGAAAAGTATTGATTAAGAGATTGGAGGATGATACATAACATGCAGAAGGAGCAATAGGTGTCTTGGCAATGAATTACGAATTAATTTTCATGACTTATTAATGTATGGCCACATTTTATTAAAATAATCCATTGTTTCAGTTAAATTGTGGCTATGTTGTGCTAATTTGCTCCCTTGCTTTAGTGTAATTAAATCATGCTCACTATTTAACAAAAATTAGGGTACAAATTAACAGGGTTTTCACACCTTGCATAACCCTGGGTTATTGTCTTTCTAAAGCCAGTTTTTAACCCAGGCTAAAGGTATGTTTCACACTTGTAATTTAAGTGGGGTTAACCACCTCTTAACCGGGATTATAAACCCCACATTGCTGTGCCAAACTTGTACAGTGTGAAAACGTGTACAGTGTGAAACAATGCAATGTTAAGGCTAAATGCATTGCAGAAACAGTAATTTCAGCATTTAAGTGGAAAAAATATCAAATGGTGACGGAAAAAAAAAAGTGAAGTGGAGAGAACAGTAGACAGTCCGACAAATGCATTCTGGAAAACTTGATAGTCCAGACGGTATTATATAATATGAGAATGTGCAACTCTAGAGCCTTTGTAAACATGTTGTGGGTTTAGCAATATACAGTGTGAAACATTCACTTATGAATACCCAGGATTGACTTTTAACCCCAGGTAAAGTATAAGCAGTGTGAAATGTGAGGCAAGATCTTGGTTACTATTGTAACCTTGGTTCTCTGATGGACGTAATGAGACATTGTTCCAATCCTCTGAACACCTCTGATCTTGAGGGCAGGGTCAGGCTCCAACTGAGCCAAGCAGTGGCTTGCTCTGGGAGACGTGCTGTTTCTCAGATATGATACTTTTTGAGCATGGCTGCCCATATCCAGGCTTACCACTATATAAAACAATAAGTCACCTTGCAAACTGAATTGGGTAGCCCAGTCTGATACAGGGGCCCAGGGGCCACACCATAGAACATGAGGAAGCAGGAGTGAGCAAGTGGGCATACATTGCAGCACAGCACCTGGAGGAGAAGCATTTGCGTGCATAGATCGCTGGTGCTCAATGCATGGCCATCATGTCCATGAGAACCAATGACATCGTTTACAGGTGTAATATGCAGTGGATGAGAAACTTGCTCTTTTTTCAGAAATGACTTCCTTCAGTGCCTGACATCGCCTTCTCCTTCAAAATTAAACCAACATTTTTACCAGAAGTCTTCCCAACTTGATCCTCCACTGGGAAAACGAACATGGTTTGTGCCATCTTTTGGGCTGGACTGCAGGCGTTGAGCAAATGTCCATTCACTGGACCACCAACCTCAGGGACTAATTAGAATCCCTGGGAAGGCTCTTCATCGTGGGCTGGCAGGAGGAAGACCCTGTTTTCTTCTGCCATCTCTGGCACTGAGATTGCACTGGGGGCTTGGTGTGTGTTGGAGCTGGGACAGCAGAAGGGGCTGTCGATGACCTCAATGGCCGAGGTGCGTTGAAGCAGGATGTGCTTTACGGCACTACCATGAACTGCTAGGTAAAGGCCTCCACCTCTTCATCGAACAGTCCTGCTTGGGAGATAGGGTGTCAAGAAATTTTACCTTCTTGGCCTCCTTCATCACAAGCTCCAACCACAGGTCATGCTTCTGCACCACCATTGTGGCTATCACCAGACCAAGGGCTTGTGCTGTGTACTTTGGTCACCCAGAGGGAGAGTATGATCACCGTGCACAACTCTCTGAGGTCCTTCAACACTGTGGCCAAGTGTACCTGCCAAGGCATGAAGGCCAGAAGCGTCCTGCCTAAGATAAGCATAAGCTCACATCGCTATTGATGACGCAAAATAAGCAGATCTCATGAGAAAACAAGGCCAGCAGTAGATGGTTCAGAAGTGAGCATTAATGCGGCCTTAATGATCCTAATGAAAGGTTTAGCTGGCTATTACTACCGGTTTCCCTAGAAATTATATTTTACTTCTAGATTTGAATATAAGAGGACTGTAGAAATGTTTTGAAAGCTCTGGCTTTATTCCAGAAAAACATGCAATATTCATTAAAAAAATTGACCTACACACAAATTATTATAATAATTTTTTATTATTATAGTACTCTACATAAGAAGTGCAAAAACATGTTTATAAACCATTAGAGGAGTGAATGTTATTCAAATCTGCCTTCATCATCTTAAAAAAAAAAAACATTCCATCTGGTCACTGACATATAGAAAATATCATCAAATATTATTTAGTATAAAAGCCTTAGGTAACACTTTACTTGAAGGGGTGTGCATAAGACTGACATGACACCTTCATAATCATGACATGACACCTTCATAATCATGACATGACACGTCATGAATATGAAGGAGGTTTTATGCATGTTTATGACAACTGTCATTAAGTGTCATTCGCTCAGTTATGTAATTTTTAATGCAAAGATGACATTGTTTGAGATGTCTTTGTTATGGGCTATGGTTAGGGGTAGGGTTAGGTCAAATAATGTCATATTTGCATTAAAAATGACATAACTGAGCGAATGACACTTAATGACAGTTGTCATAAACATGCATAAAAAAACCTTCATATTCATGACATGTGTCATGTCATGATTATGTAGGTGTCATGTCAGTCTTATGCACACCCCTTCAAGTAAAGTGTAACCAAGCCTTAGATATGAATTTTAAAACTCTGAAATAATGATTGCATTAGTTATTTGCATAGTCAGTATTGGTTAAGCCTAAGAGTGTAAGACACATGTGAAGAAACTAAAGAAATTGAGTTTATAAAACACACACAGAAAAAAAAGGGGTTTAACAACAGCTTGTCCCTGGAGCAGTACCCTTAAAAGGACATATTTGTACCTTTTTTTTTTTACCCCTAATAGGTACATATTAGTACCTTAGAGTAGTAATAAGGTACTAATATGTACCTATTAGGGGTAAAAATGTACAAAGATGTCCTTTTAAGGGTACTGCTCCAGGGACAAGCTATTGTACCCCAAAAGGTACAGTTCTGGCCCCGTATTCTTCTGTGTGCAGGAAGTGTTCGAAGAACAAAGTTCAGTTTAAAAATGCTAGAAACACATCACAAATTTGTCCATTGGCTCTGTAACAATATCATATATTTTATATTAAAGCAGAGTGAAGAATTAACCTTCAAAACAAAGTCACTGGTAACCTTTGTCACTGTTTATCTGAAGATTCTAGATGCTGCCCCGGTTTTTGAATGCAACCGCAAAGTGTTAGTAAATTCAGTACTAACACAAAAACTTAATCAAGATATTTTGCAGACACAAGCGCATGTTTTTGAAGATGTAGCTTTTTTAGTGCTGCAGGCCACGCAGTTACAAACATGAAGAAAACTTTATTCTAAATCTCTCACAAACCCAAAAAGCAAGTGTTCTCGATGTTTATTTCACAGTAAATCTTTGTGCGTAATGTGAAAAAAATGAAGTTAGCGCTCTCCCGTGAGAGACAAAGCAACCTACTGCCAAGCAAAAGATATGCATGTACCTAAACTGCGTCTTCTAACATATTACAAAAGTGCAAGAGCTTAACAGATTGATGACCAAGGCAACTTAGTTAATATAACTAACAACTATTCTGAACCGCCAGTGTTTTTGATTTTGCCTTTGCAAAGCAAGGCCTTTGTAAGAGAAACTATCTGCAGATGTCTTTCTCAGAATGCCACTTGCTCAATCACTTGGCAGTAAGATTTGGCTTCAGCTGAGAGGTTTTCAAGCTAGCTGGCTGTAAAGTTCAAAGCTCCTGCAGATAACACTGTAAGTGAGAGAGAGGAGACGACATGTGCGGGGTGAGCGAGGTTATCCCAGCAGCACTCTTTGAAGGCGATCGGCAGGCACGCTGTTGTCTTCGTCTGAGTCAGCGTCGCTCTGAGGGTTGGAGCTGCAGGGAGAGGTGCATTCTGGGGAGCACAGGTAGTGCATCAAGGGCAGGCGATACTTCCCACAGAAATCCACAAACTTGATGTGACGAACGCATGAGTCAAAGTAAACACCTGGGAATGAGGTGGTGAGATATGCTGTTGTTAGAAAATGGTTTGCATTGACTAAAGGCCTATTCACACCAAGGATGATAACTATAATGATAAATAGTTTTAAAAATTGGTCTATATTTAAAAGAATAGCAGAGTTCACACCACAGCTACACTATATTACTCATCCTCATGTCATTTCAAACCCATTAGACTTTTGTTCATCTTGAAACAGAAATTACAACATTTGTATGTATATTTATGCATATGCATCGATCAATGTTTAAATGTGAATAAAAGCCACAATTAAATTTGTTTATCATATAAAGCAACTTGTGTTTCTTCAGAAGGCCTGGCTCCGCTCAATTCACGTGTATTAATTTTACAATCTCTTTATGAACTTTTTAAAGCTTGAAAATGTTGGTTGCGTGGACTTTCAAAGGAGAGACAAAATATATGACATTATACACTCCCATTCAAAAGTTTGGGATCAGTAAGATTTTTAGTGTTTTTTAATGGAGTCTCTTGTACTCATCAAGGCTGTATTTATTTGATCAAAAATACAGAAAAAACTATAATATTGTGAGATATTATTTCAATTTCTAATATTGGTTTTCTGTTTTAATATACTTTAAAATATAATTGCTTTCTGTGACGCAGCGCTGAATTTTCAGCATCATACTCCATTCTTCAGTGTCACACGATCCTTCAGAAATCATTATAATATGCTGATTTATTATCAATGTTGGAAACAGTTGTGCTGCTTCATTTTATTAATTTTTTTTGGAAACTGTGGTACTTTTTTCTGGATACTTTTATGAATAAAAAGTTTAAAAGAACAGCATTTATTTAAAATGAAAATCTAACAATATGAGTCTTTACTATCACTTTTTATCCATTTAACACATCCTTGCTGAACAAAAGTATTCATTACTTTCAAAAAAAGAAAGAAAAAAATTTACTGACTCCAAACTTTTGAACGGTAGTGTATATTGTAACACAAGATTTCCATTTTGAATAAATGATGTTTTTTTTAGTGCTGGGCAACGATGCATTTTTTAAAATCGCGATTAATCGCACGATTTTCTGCGATTAATCACAGGATTTTTCTGCGATTAATCGCTATTAATCGCATTGTTATGCACAAAATTCAATAATGAATTCAAAAGTAGTGTATTGTGCACTTTTTTCATTTAAAAGTACTGCTCTGTGAACAAAAGTGCAATAACATTTGGTTTGCAAACACTTTAAACAAATAAGGTGCTTTTTTACAGCTTTGCCACTGCCAGGGCATTAACGTTTTTATAGAAAATATTTTATAGCTTGTTATAGAAAAACAAGTTATGCTCAGAGTCCAGAGCCTCGATCATAACATTATAACAAGCACTTTCCGAGTAGAGACCTGCACTATCACGGGACCCAACACAGCAGAGTGCGGTGCGGGACAACACTTGATGGGGGAGTGCGGGTGCGAGCGGGTAGAGACTCATGTGTGCGGGATGCAGGAGAATAAGGTGTATCACACTAGGCAATCTTAACCGTGCCCGAGCGCGTTTGACCCCCAAAGCCCGGTTCGCTTGACTAGTGTGATCGCTCCGTGCCGTGGTTGGTTTAGCCAGCCCTGGCTCGGTTGGAAGAGGTGGGCCAGAGCGCGGTTCACTTGGGCTCGGGCGCGGTACGCATGTAGTGTCGGAGCGCTGAACTTCTGATACATGCAGCATGATTACGTGAACATTTCTGAGTGTCAAATGTGATAGATCTGTAATGCAATATATTGTGAAAGGGCCGTGTGTTACCGCATCCCAAACGACTCAAAATAATAAACCACAAAGTTAACAAAACCATGCACTCCACTGTGCTGAGCGAGAGCGCTTCTCTGCTGCCTTTACGTGAAGTCGTGAGCGCTTCATGTGAGTGATGCAGCAGTCTATAGGTCCACCCTAAATGCTCTCATTGGTTGAGACGCATGATGACACCCATCCCAAGCCAGTACTGATCAACATCCCACCTCTCCTGTGACCCATGGTTTGTCTGTATGTGTATTCAGAGCCAGTGAGCAACAGACTTTCATAATAATAAAAAACAGCGATAATAATGCGTTAACTTGCCCAGCCCTATTTCTTTTTAATTTTATATTCATAAAAGAATCCTGAAAAAAGTATCACAGGTTCCAAAAAACATGAAGCAGCACAACTGTTTCCAACATTGATAATAAGCCTTGATGAGCACAAGAAACTTTGGTAACGGTAGTGTGTATAATATTAAAAAAAAAAAATAAGAAGGAAATCTTACAGGTTTCAAACCACATGAAGATGAGCAAATGACAGAATTTTCATTTTTGGGTGAATTATTCCTTTAAATGAGAGCACATTATTCTATATACGATAAACATTCAAAACTGTCAAATATCATTCTTATATTATATCATCACTACAAGCACAAGCTGTAATTCATGCTTAGCAGGTTTGTTGTGTCTGCTTAAGTTTACAACGTTACCTAACAACATATTATAGCTCTATATTACTGCCATTATAGACGTAACTTTGATTCATCTCTGGCTGATAACAACATACGTTCTGATTTAAACACTAAAACAAGCACTTTCTGTATTGTGAAAAACACTGTAACAATAAACTTGAATATATTGAATTGAATATATAAATGACTTTGGTTTCAACCTCTCTGGATGCTCTTAGCTTATATTTATTAAAACTTTTATATCATGTTTCTCCTCCCACCTGCACACTTGGGGTTGGGGCACTTGCTGGCTATGTCTAGGTAGTTGACTAGATGGCTCGGGAGGTCTTTATGCGAGTATGGGAGGTTCTTGCTTTTGACGGTTCGTCCAGCCAGCTCCAGCAGCGATGGGGGGTCGTAGGTCATGTCCTTGATGAAGCGTACGACCAAAGGATTGCCTCTGAGACTGAGCTCCTGAAGGTGCACCAGGCTCAGGATCTCTCTCGGAAGATACGTCAGCAGGTTATTATGCAGACTAAGAGAGCGCAGGGAATGGAGCCTGGGAGGGTGGAAAGAACAGCATATTTCTTTCATTATTAATACTACTACTACAATTACTACTACTAAGTATTGGAATGTATCACAGAATATATATATATATATATATATATATATATATATATGTGAGTATTTAGATTTTTTTGCACCCTCAAGATTCCAGATTTTCAAATCTGTTCAAGTTGTATCTCGGCCAAATATTGTCCTATCCTAACAAACCATACATCAATGGAAAGCTTATTTATTCAGATTTCTGATGACAATTTCGAAAAAAAATTACCCTTATGACTGGTTTTGTGGTCCAGGGTCACATTTGTAAAGAGCACGGTAATCTCATATGGGATTACGGTTGGTGGATGTGATAGAAATGATATTATAAAGATATTTATATTGATTGCTGTACATCTTATATTTAGCATGTAAACAGCTATTAATAGAAAACCTAATGGATAAAGGCAATTTTTAACTTTTTTTTTAGCAAATATTTAGTAATATTTGCTATTTATGTGAACATTATGTGAACAAGATATTTTTAAATGAGATTTTTAAAAATAAGTCGGATTCATTTCAAATGTTTGCATGATTATTATTTTTTTTCCTGTTTATCATACTACACCACATTATATGATAAACACCATATTATAATATTATGTATTAAATACTTAATATACATGTAAATTACATATTAATAATACAATAATACTTTTTGGATATCTTAAGAAGAATCAATCAATATGAGCTGCATTGTTATTTTAGTATCCTTAATAAACTATAACAGTTTCTGTTAATATTTTAAATGGTATTTTATATTTTCTGTTTTCATTTTAGTAAAAGTTTTAGTAATTGTGGTTTGTTTTCATAATTTTTATTACTTTTTTATTTTAAACATGTACTTCAAAATAAACTAACCGAAAATGAGAATTGTTGCCTTGGCAAGTAGCTGAAATAAAACTGAAATGAAATAAAAAGTTGAAGTTTTCTTTCTTTCTTTCTTTTTATTTCAAGTAATGAATTTTGTATGGTTTTAGTTTCAGTTAATGATAATAACCCTGATGATCTGTTAAATGCTTATCGTCAAAATAATTGCAGAATGTGTTTTTCAAACCGTGCAACCTTAAAGGACAAATAGACACACTTTGTTAGCAAGCATTTGCGTGACATCTCAGACTTACCTGTTGAGTTGAGGTGGGACGCTCTGGATGCGATTATCACACAGAACTAGGTAACTGAGGCAGGGTAAGTTAGCTAGTTCAGCAGGGATGGAGGAGATCTGGTTACCACCCAGATACAACAGCTCTAAGCTAGAGAGAGAGAAGGGTTGTGGAAGGGCTGTCACAAAATGTTATAAACAAAACAATGTCAAAATAGTGACAAAATCACAGTAAGAACACATTGTACATGAATGTATTGTATACTGTAACTAAATTTAAATAATTGTACTTATTTGGGCCTCCCTGGAAGTTTGCCAATGTCCCCTAGTGGGCCCTGACCTGCTAATAAGAACAACTGTATTAAAGTATCTTCAAAATCAATAGTAATTCTGCCCTATGGTTACTGCCACTGATAAAGGATAACTATAGGTTTCTTATCCTGGTAGGAAGCCTTCCAGTGAGGAAATGCAGACATGCAAAAAAGATCACCACTAACACACAAAGGCTATGAGGAAATCGCTCACCTTCAGCTGTTTTTAAGCCAATACAGATCAGTGTTTCATGATAACAAAGATATCTTCTGCAAACATCCCGATTGTTGTATCACAAACACTTCTGTCCTAGACAACACACGTCCAGCACTTTATGAGATGACTAGATTAAGTACATCGTTTTGTACCTTTGTCTTTTCTGCCTCAAATCAACGTTTGTAACATTGTGATTCATCTCAAGAGTTGATTTAGTTCATTGCTGAGAATCTTTTTTTAACCTCCCATGGAAATGAAAGGAAACCTTCCTCTACAAAAGAATGAGGCACTGAGAGCAAAGGAACGAGTGAGAGATCTTCTAGTGTTTTACCCTACCGGCCACTTTGTCCATTTGTTGTCCTCCCTGAAGAGAGGCATTCATTTTTGCTTCAATACCTCATTCCTTTCGCCAGCCCATCTCGGCTTAGTCTCTACGATTACCACAGCAGGCAGAGATGGCAGAGGGAAAAGAGGTCCAGATCTCTCGAAAAGGACCAACTCTGTGTGTAATGTGGGCCAACCAAGCGGCGACCTCCGGCTCTCTCTCTCGTGAAGCCAACACGGAAGTGACTTAAACTGTAATTCGTCAACTGGCCGCTAGAGGCTGGCTGCAAAATGGATTCAATCCCATAGACTCCCCATGTTAAAATGCCCAACTTTACAGCAGAAAAAAACATGTTTACAGCCTGGTTCAAAAAATTATTTTGGTCTATATAGCTAATTTTACATTTAAGTTTTAAGCGTCTCAGACCCAGACAATTATAACTTGATTATGTACACAAGACAATAAAACTGAAATAAAGAGTTGAAGTAATTTGATCAGTGAGAGAGTTGCTACATAAATGCTAACACATTAGGTATATTTACATTCAGGTAACAAAACTTCACAAATATGCATCCCTACCGTGATAATAGTCACTTTTGCCTTGATGACATATGTGACCCTGGAAAACCAGTTTTTAGTAGCACGGGTATATTTTTAGCAATAGCCAAAAATAGTCGCATCATCCAAGTGGATGCTGCACACTGGTGGTGGTTGAGGAGAGACCCCCCAACATGACTGTAAAGTGCTCTGGGTGTACAGCAATACACAATAAAGCGCTATATAAATGCATCATTCATTCATTCATTCACAAATACTGCAGCGCGTGCTGTAGCCTGTATAATTTCATATTAAGGCTCAAATGAAACTACGAGCATGTGTGCCAAATAACCTTATAACCCAGCTGCTGTGATGTCTGTTCATCAAAGAACAAAAGAAAAAAAGAGGAAATCAATAACTTTTGTAACAGCTGCAGACACTGGCTCGGCATCTCCTCAAACCTGTTCCCACTCAAATTCAGCACTTCCAGCTGCAGAGAGCCAAAGTGCTTGGGCAGAGAAAACACATTTAAACGATTGTTCTTGGCTATGAGGGTCTTGAGTTTGGTCAGTCGGGTAATGTCTTCGCAGATGACCGACAGCGTGTTGTTACTGATGTCGAGAAACTCCAGGTTCGAGAATAAAGAGATGGACTCGGGTAAAACCGTCATGCGGTTGTAACACAGGTACAGTTGCTTCGTGTCTTTCCGTCGTTTCTCGCTGACCGTGTCCAAACTATTATTGTTCAGATTCAAACGGGACAGATCTAAAACACTCTCGCTGCTGCTGGCTCCTTCATAACCCTCCATTTTAATAGCCGATAACGGAAAAAAGACCCCTTTCTTCTGGTTCAAGCTGTTTCCCAACACTATGTCCGAGTTTACTTCCAACGCCAAGCGTCCCGATCTTCCATGTGTAGCCTAAATAACTCGGCCTAATGGCAGCATTTACACATTACATTCTTCTTCTTCTTTGGTGTTTATTGGCGGTTGGCAACCCACACATTACAGTCATTATCAAAGACGGTCTGTCTATCAAGCGTTCACAATTTAACATTCATGTTTCGGGGCTCCACTGGAGTTTGGCTCCGCCCGACTGTATTAACCCTTTACTAGAACTATGGCAAGCCGTGTTAGCTTAAAATACTCCCAGCGTTACTCGTCGTAATTGCATTTTCACTAGTAACAATTCAATTAGAGAGCTCTACAATTAAATTCTTACAAGTAACAATGCCAATTACAGAGCTCTCTAATTCAGTTCTTACTAGCAATAATAATAATAATAAACATGTATATAGCGCTTTTCTAGGCACTCAAAGCGCTTTACATTGTGAGGGGGCGTCT